TTATTTATTTATTATATATATTGGTATTTATTCATCTAAATTCTCAACTCACTGTCTTATCTTTCACAAACAACCATTCTGGGTTCATTACTTGGCGAGCTGAACTGAACTTTCGGCCCTGTTCTTCAGTCAAGCCCTGAACGAATCCTTTTAATGAACCGATTCTAATGATTCAGTAAAAAGAACCGCTTTGCCCATCGCTACCGGGACCAGCCACTTCCTGGGAGCTCCTGGTTGCCTGGCAACTGCAGCAGCGGAAGCGGTGTTACTCTAAACTATTCTGTGAACAAGTCAAAGGTTAATGGGTGACACTGAGCAGTTTAACAGTTAGTTAAAGTGAAAACGGCACTAAGTGTATTTTTAGAGCGCTGTGACTCAGCTGCAGCTCGTGTACCTGTGTGCTAATTAGGCAGGAGAGGTGTGAAAGTGCAGCTAATGAGCGGAACTGCTTAGTAACTGGGTTAATGTTAAACTTGCTAAACATGTTCATGACTTCCTTTCAGACAGCACATCACAAGGTGTGAAAAAAATCCACAGGTATACAGGTTCACATAACACACAACACTAAACAACATGTTTCCTTTGTTAGTTTATTTTGTCCCAGATTCAAGCAACACCATCAACAACTCCAACTCATACATTCAAAGGCAAACTTATCTTATATGTACATTTAACTGTAAAGCATCCTTATAAATACCATAAATAACAACAAAGGAATGGAATTAAATAAATAAATACTCTTCGGGACTGGTTTTCGTGTTTTGCTGGTGGTGCCCAGCACCTGTAAGTTCACATAGTAAGAGTTCAGATTTGATATCAAGATTATTGCTTTGTAAAGGTTGTTTACCCTGTAGTTATATTCATTCAAGTCATGAATTAGATTGTACAAATACAGATAGATTAACACAACAAATACTGCATTGTAGTGCAGTGTCATTGTAGTGAAATGTAGTTTGGAAAAGTCTTTGGAAAATGTAGGTTCAAAATCTATGAATAAACAAACTTCAAATGTTCTATATGCAACTCAGTAAACATAGGACTCAACAAACTTAACCTTAATTCTACTAAATGCAACTTTTAGGTATATTCATGTATATATTTTGGTTTAAAAAATCATGCCTGCCTAGTTTCACATCAGTAGACAGGGCCTTCAGTCCTCCAGAGGTAGGCTAAGTTAGGCTTCTGTCTTGAGATAACATCACTTTGAAATGTGGGTTTCTCAGACCAGCTGTAAAAACCTCAATAAGAAGAAACAAAAAAAAACAAAAAAAAACATGCTGACTAATTATTACTTTCTAAGGCTTTGTTTGCTTTTCTGATATTCCTGCTATACACAGACATTGGCAGGCAATTGCATCCTCACTAAAATGAATCATGTAGTTCTTCAGGGAAGCCAAACACTGTTTATGAATAATTAAATCAATTTCTACTGCCATTTCTCATCTAAGCTTTAGCTCAGTGCCTGAGAATGCCAATAAATAAAACTAATTATAATGGATGGGGATGGGAAATTGATTTGGATCACTCATATTGGCACATAAAGACATGTTTGGCTGTACTGAAATCCCTGTATCCACTTATCCCTAATTTATCACCAAACTTGTGCAAAATATTCACTATATAAGATGAATCCAGGCAAAACACATGATTTAACTTAAATCTGCAGTGATCTCAAAGCAGGAGATTTATATATATAAAAAAGTGTTAACACTGTAAATTGTGCAAAAGGGGCTGCAAGTGAAGTGTAACATTTTAGTGTGTAAGTAGACTGAACGAGTGATGACTCAAAAGACATGTTAAGTCAATCTGAATGCTGGCCTTTTAGTCTTTAAAAATAAAATGTTAATGCCGTTTTTTCTCTCATATGATCATAAACTACAAGGTTAAACTTAGACTCACGCAGACTAAGTATATATATGCATATATTCATATCAGTCACCACTAAAATCACCCCATGGTCCCGGTGCTCCGGGGGCTGGCCGGGTTGGACGAGTGCACGTTCCAGGGGTCGTGGGTGGACGGAGCCAGCGGCGTCTCCCGGGACACGTTGCGCCCATCGTCCCCAACCTCCACCTCCACCTCCAGGTCGGCGTCGTCTTCCGGCACGGCCCGAGAGTCGGAGCCCTCCTCGGTCTGACCCAAGTAGACGTTGTGCGGGTCGGATGGATCCACCAGCTGGTTCCTCTTCTCCCTGTGCAGCAGGAGGCGTTCCAGCGGCACCGTGTTCTTCTTGGGCAGGAAGAGGGAAGTCTGCGGCAGGTTCTGGCCCGCTGAGAACACCTGCCGGGAGCCTTCCAGGTTGAACAGGATGCCGGTCCGGCACGAGTAGTACACGTCCCGGTTGTTCTCCAGAAGTCTGTGGTTGAACAGACAGTCGTCCCTGAGGCAGGTGGGCTGAAAGAGGGAGGGAAAAGGAGGAAATTAATCTTTACAGCACAGGAATAAAACTTATTTTTTTATGTTAAACATCAGTTTGTCGTTTTGGTAAAGTCAGAGTAATCATCTCCAAATACGCTACTGAATATATGCCCGAATAAACTAAACAGACGTTTGACTACTAATAAAAAGGCGTTTCATTCTCATCGGGCTTGAGGTAATGTCCTTATATTTCTAATACAATTCAGATATCAGTGATTGTCTCTTTGTTTTAAGGGACCAGTCTACTATTAACAAGTAAAACTGACAAAATAACTTCGCCACTATAAGAAGTTTGTTCACTTGATAACAGTTACATCATAAAAAAGAAATACAATGAATAAACAACCTATATTTGCAGTAATCTTTGTGCGCAAAAGTGCGTAAAAGGATAGGAAACTGAATATAACTATGCGTAAAACCCCGCAATGGTGGCAAATATGAACACAAAACTAAACGTTTAGGGGTTCGACTTGGTAATATTAACGTCTGAGTAATTAAAAAAATAATTAAATGGATGCTAAGACATCCTATAATTGCAGCAGATTTGTGCGTAAAATGAAAACT